CCGTACATTACAAGAAAGACATTTCAGCACTCATGGCGGTCGGTACGTTCGACCTGAGGCTAATCCCCGAATTTGATGGTTCAGACCGGGGCCTTTCTATCGTTGAATGGTTCGGAAATACTGAACTGGTCTGTGATCTCTGCGACGAGAAGAACGTTGCGCGCGTTCACCAAAAAGCATTGATTGATTTTATTCGAAAGCTAGTGGATTCAGGTCTGCTGAGTTAGGAGGCCAAGTGCTTGGGAAAATAAGATCATGGAGTTTGTCACGCATCCATTGTAGCTTTATGAAACGGAGTTGAGAAGACAGGTTTTACTTTTGCATACGCTGTCTATACAGTGTTTCACAAACCTCCCCAACATATTCTAAAACAGCGACATTGACTCTTAAACCCCGTGGAAAAGAAAGAAGAGAAGAAGCATGGCATCTCCCTAGTTGTTGATGACTTCCAGAATCATCACAATTACTGGGAACTTGGTATGCATGGCACTTTGAACCTCAAACAGGTGTCTGCATAACCGTATATCGCTCCTTCGGTTAACCTTTTTGTCGTGCTCAGAGTTTTTCTCGTCCGAGGAAAACCATAGCATTTTAAACAAGTGTTTTAACTTGTTTAGCAAGCGCCTCACATGGATCAAATGATTCTCTCTTGTCTTTTCCGACACGAACTGATCTCTCCGAATGGTTTCCATTGATTTTTAAATGAGCTTATCTGTTATTTTCTGGGCTTTTCGTACGAAGGTAAATGTTTTGATTGTATTAGTATTCTTAGTATGAAATTTTTTGTTTAGATGATGCTATTCTTCTTCTTATTAGATTGCTTGATTCTCGTCAACAGCTTCCAATTCATTTCAACTTAAACTTTCAGGAAACGAATTATCTCATTATCATTACTTTGCGCTTTTAAGGTAACGAATACAGCATGCTTTTTCATTTACTGAGTCAACTTGATACTTCAAAGACCCTTCTGCATACATGAACAATCTTATACTATGATCGTCAAAAAGCTCTAAGACTCACCGAGAAATAAGAGCCATAGCTGAACATTTTTGTTGTGGCAACGGACTATCAATTATTATAAAACTAGAAAAAACTAATTTACATTTCTGATTTAATTTCTGTGCAGTTGAGACATGTTATGGTCCAAGTTCCTTGGACCACGGTGATAGTCCAAGGTTAGACCCAATGAAAGAATAACACGAACACAGGTATGGAATACAAAGATATATTACAACAGAAATATAATACAAAGAAGTAGAAATATTAGTAATGGCTATCAGATTTGGTTAGAGTGAACTATGTTGTCTCGACAAGTATCACTATTCCAATGTCCTTACAATATGCTCTCAATTATCTCTCCTCGTCTTACAATCTCCTCATACCTCTTGAGATGCGCAGTATTTATAATGTCAGGAACAGTCCATTATTATTATGGGTAAGTTCCCATAACAAAACCCATACAAAGGTGAGAGGTGTGCAACAAATGTAAAAAAATGGACAAAACATAGGCCAGAGTAGTTATTAAATATTTGAAAAAAAAAAGTATGATACCCAAGGAGATACAAGACATGGTACAGAGACTTGCAGAGGATTCCCTTTCCCATGCAACTGAGAAGTGGGGCAGGAACAGCACAGAAGATGACTCTCGATTAGGTCGTCTTGAAATCTCAACCACTTATAAACCATTTTATGCCATTCACCATATAGTTTTGGATGATAATATTGCTGTCCAGTAGATAGTTAACTCTATAGGCATTAGTTCTGGTTCGGTCCATTCTGTTTTATCTGAGATCTTGGAGATGGTTTTGGGGGATTCTGAAAGCGTAATCATGATAGCCGAGCTGGAAAAGGGAAGAACAAAAAAGTATTAATGACCAGTTTTATACCGCAGAATTAAAACGACTGAAAGAATCAATCGAGTCGAAACGCAGACGGAAACTGAGAGCACGTGTGCGCTTTCTTCATGATAACGCGTTCGTCCATACTAGCAAGGTTGCTGTAGCTGAAGCAATCTAATGTGGCTTTGAATTGCTACGCCGTCCCCCTTACTCACGAGACTTAGCTCCATCTGACATTTTTTGTCTGTTGCCTAAACTCAAAAGCCACCTACATGGTCACCATTTTGGAAACACAGATGAGATCATATGTGTTGTGGAGAAGTTTTTGGAGGACCAGGACGCTCCATTTTTCCGTGATGGGATTACAATGCATCGTCGGACCCACTGCATTTGGTATTAAGGGAACTAAATTAAAAAAAAATAAAAAAATAAAAAACTTTCTTGTTTCTCCAACTCTACCTGGAGTGACTTAGAAGTTTTTGAACGACCCTCTTATACACTTCGCGGGTTTTATTAATAGCGACATGTACGCATAGAAGCATATACTTTTAGATATACGTATCTATAATTTATTAAAAAATAGTTTAAGAGTTTAATATAAAAAATAATTACAGCATAAAACCTGAAACTGAAATTTACGCTATAGACTGTAATCTATATAATAAATGTGAATGTCAGTGTGGCATTGTGTTAAACTTTTCCGACTTTACTCCTAGAAGCCATAGCCAAACATATACATTTTTTTATGAAGCCGACTGCGTGAGCAAATTAAAAAAAAATTCTGGACAGAATCCCGACCCGCAATCCTGAAATTTTGGATTCTCAAGTTTTCATTACTGCGATTGTTTTCGGATTCCGCCATCCTGGTTTCTACTGATAGCAATTAAAGGGACACAACTCTCTAACTTTCAATATCGCATATTCAGATGAAAAAATTACTGTTCTCAAATTACAGCCTTTCAAAATAAATTTGTCAGCGTTTTCAACTTTAGTCCTAGAGGCCGTAGCCCAACATATACAATTTTGGAATCAGGTCGACTCCCTGAGCAAATTAAAAACATTTCACAAAACGCAATCCTGAAATTTTGGATTCTTAAGTTTTCATTACTGCGATTGTTTTCGGCTATTTTTTACGTGATGTTTTGCGACGAATTTTTTGTACGGTTACAATTTTTATAACTTTGAAATAAATTTTGAAATATTCGATATTAATTGTGAAACCCACCGAAAACCAGCCATGGAATTAAAAAATAATTGTTTGTACGGAAAATAAGGACCTACGTATATAATATTGTCTTTAAATGAAATGGCGACAGAAGAATTATGATTGAACTTTTAAAAGGCAAGCTTAATGTTGAACCTTAACTAATGCATGGAATAATAATGCAACACAAAATGTACTTAGAACAACATGTATTGAAACAAGAAAGTGTACACAATATTTACATATAGTCTTTTGTATATTCCTGGTAAGACCGTTCCTGGAGAATGTGTTGACTGAGTCGCTGTCGGGTAGAGTCTCTGGTTGAATCTCTTGATTCCTCCCTCTCTTCCCGGTACCAACCATATTTATATGGTCGGTACTCCACTATGCAAATTAGGTGGATCCTACCACAACACTTAAATATTATTGCAATGCATAAATGCGGCGATCAGTTTTCAGTTCTTCTGTAGTTTATTGTTGCCAATTGCATCTACTCCTCCCTACCTATTGCGATGAAACGCAAATCAAGCACCCTCTGCGGGAGTTAGCTTAAGTGCCGCCTGAGAAAGCGGCTTTTAAGCCGTAGAGCTTATATAGGAAAAACTTCGAGGAAGTTTAATAAAAGTATATATGAACAGGAAAGAGATCTTTTACAAAACAATACTCTCAGTGTATTCGCCGTTCTTGGCAATGATTCTGATTCTTAAGTTTCAGTTAAGAAATATGCTTCAATTGAAAAGAAATTATTTTACTAATTTTTGAGACTTCCACTATAAATTTTCGTCCATTTTCTTCTTCTTTTATGTATCATGCCCATTCTGGGAGGAAGGCGATCCACACCTTTTAGCTCTTAATAAGTTTTCTTTTTATGATTTCTCTCAAACATTGTTCTCTTATCTGCTCAATACCATCGAGTATGTTACGCACAGCTTTTCTCTGTCCCTCATTCCCTCAATCGGTCCCGTGAGTATCAGATTTTCCAAGCCATCCTTCCTCATTACGTGTCCCAAAAATTTCAACTGCTTCTTCGTAATGTCAAGTATATATTTCCGTTTTGCTTCCATTCTCTTCATTATTGCTCACATGTTCGGTCCATGGCATCCTCAACATCTTTCTGTAGAACTACATTTATGTCGCTTCAAGTTTCTTCTTCATCTTTGCGGAAATTCTACAGCATTCTCTGTCATATAGGAGGACAAATATCACGTTTCAGTTCAGTACTCTTCTCTTTGTTTCCAACAAAATGTCTTTCCTAATAAATTGTTTGTTGTTACACTGTGGTGTATTTAAAAACAACAGAGGCAAAAAATGAAAGCAAAAACTGTGAAAGATTGCATGAGATCGGCTGAGCTGTATGTCTACATCCGTCGGACGCCATTAAGTTTGAAATTTAAAAGTTAGCGTATCATCACGTTTTGGCAGATAATTATAACAGACGTTAATTTTATATTTACCCACCCCCACTACATATTGCATCAATAAGAACATTATTTTATTCTGATGAAGTCCTTTTAGAGGACGAAACACCTATGGTGATTTTGTCTCAATTTTGTCATTTAATTTCCCCAAATTGTTGATACATACAAATTTATATATCATAATTTCCTACAACAGACTTAGATTTACATGTATAAATGTTTATTAACACACACACAATATATATATATATATATATATATATATAGAGAGAGAGAGAGAGAGAGAGAGACTACTTTCCAAAATTTGATCAAATTATAAAAGAACAGATTTTAGAACTGTTCCTTGGTCTTGCTGAGTTTTTTCAACTCCGTCGTGTCCATAATATACAATAAAAAGTTCAGTTTACCCCTACTGCATGTGTATATGTACAAGTTATTATTCTTGCGTATTTAAATAAATATGCATATGTGTATTTAATTATACATGAAAACAAATGCACTCGGAAAAAACACACACACTTATTTATTAAACATATGTAGATTTTCTATCAAATTCATTTTGTTCATATCTATCTATCTATCTATCTATCTATTAAATCTACAGGTACAAACATATAATCAGTGATATTTTTATAACTTTCGTTGAAGTGTTATTTAAATATGAATGTGTGTTCGTAAATGTTTCTGTGCAATTACACACACGCATGTAGAAACACAATCGCACATACATGTATATACAAACACACATATATATATATATATATATATATATATATATATATATATATATATATATATATATATTATTCTGATCCTCGCCCTCTGTAAGCTTCTAACTTTCTGTCCTGTAGCAACAAGTTGCCTCACGGGTTTCACGTACAATTTCATTTTAAAGTCTTTTTTTTACTGCTCTTTGGACTGTCATAGCTGAAACTTCTCTCCCACGTGCCAAACGTCTTATGGATTGAGTTGGATCTTTTCTAATTTGTTTCTTTAGCTTTAAGTTGATATGATAACCCTTTCCATTTTGTGACCTCCTGATCCAGTTTTCATCTCTACTTTTCCCTCTTTTTAAAACTTATTCACCGTTCTCTTGATGCTTCTTGAATGGACTTTGAAGATAGAAGCCTGCCTCTGAATGTTGGTACTATTATTGAAGGGCTGAATGATATTTTTCCTCTCACCATTGTTCATTTGGGAGGCAGTGGGGCTGACACAAAACGATTTTAACCGGTTCTAGCTGAATAACTCAAATGGTTTCTTAGTGATTCTTATGACAAATGGTGTCAAGATGGCTAAATGTCTTATCTAAAAACCTGAAAAAAAGGAACTCGATAAGTTTAGTGTTATTTTCTGTATTTTTTTAGATATTAAACATTTTGTGAGATAGACAATATACTGTTACAGGATTTAACCAAATAGTGTTACACCCGTTATATATATATATATATATATATATGTATAAATTCGATTCTTTTCTTTCTTTTTATGTGCCGTATCCTTTCAGGACGTAGGCGTCATGGCTCTCCATTTCCCCATATCCCTTGTGGCTTTCAATAAGTTTCGTCCCTCTGCAACCTCCACCAGACCACGATCTGACATTCACTTGCTTCACTTGTTATGCGTTGCTTTCCCTTGTCCCTCTTGCCCTCTATTCGACCTGTGAGTATCAGATTCTCCAAGCCCTCCTTTCTCATTACGCGTTCCAGAAACTTCATCTGCCTCTCTCTGGTGTACAAGTATAAGACACCCCCGTGTCGGCATCTTCTCCCTCTTTATTGCTGAAACGCTCGGTCCATGATATACTCAGCATCCTTCTGTAGAATCACATCTACGTCGCCTCGAGTCACTTCTTCATCTTTAAGGGTACCGTCCAGCATTCGCTGCCATAAAGGAGGACACATGTCACATAATAGCTCAATACGCTTTTCTTTCTTACCAAAGAAATCCTCCTGTCTCGCAATACTCTGACCAGCTTTTGGAATGTGTCCTTGGCCATCCCAATACTTCTACGGATTTCAGTGTCGCATTTACCGTTCTCTGTCAAAACGCTTCCCAGGTATTTAAACATCCACACCTGCTTTGATTTTAGGGTCCCCAGCCTGCATATCGCATTTCGGGTTCATCTTTTTACTGGTGACCATGCAATTCTGTCGTCTTGTAATTTATGTTTACTTATTCCTTCTCGCTCTCCTTCGCCAGCTTCTGCTTTTTTCCGTATCTGCTACCAGTACTGTGTCATTTGCGTATATTATGTTGTTAAGGTTATGACTACCAACGTTGAATTACGGTAGAATTTCCAATTCTCTCAGAACTGACTCGTATAGGTAGAGAAGTCTGATGAGAAGACGTATCATTGTCTTACATCCCTTTCTATTTTTCTATATCTGCTGTACTCGTTCCCTATGTGCATACGTGCTGTTTGCTGCCAGTATATAGTGCATATATAATACTCAAGTAGTGTGGTAAAACATTCTCTAGTTTGACCATAGTATTTCACCATAGCATTTGAAAATTGATTATTACTGTTACCGATATACACAATAGCCGAACTAATCAGATTCTCTCTCTCTCTCTATATATATATATATATATATATATATATATATATATATATATATATATATATATATATATATATATATATATAAATATATATTAAAACAACTCGGAAAAATTAATAAATACATTATATGACGAAAAATTAATACATCAACATATAAATTTTATCTATCTATCTATCTATCTATCTACACATACATAAATAAAATCAAAAGTGACATTTTGATAACTTTCTGTGAAATTGCATTTAAATATGAATATGTGTTCCTAAATATTCGTCTGCGTAGAAGAGGAAGCGCACATTCATGCATCACCCATATATATATACATGTGTGTGTGTGTATGTGTGTGTGTGTGTGCATAGATAGATAGATAGATAGATAGATAAAAATGTATATGGTGATATATAATGTATTAATTTTTCGTCATATAATGTATTTATTAATTTTTCATGTATATATATATATATATATACACT